CTATAACCAAATCTTGGTAATTATAACTAAACCTTTTTCTGAGTGTAATGGCAATCGCCAATCTTTGTAAATTGCGGTTGTGTGAGGCAATGTTTCATAATTTGATCGGCGAATGGTTTACTAACACTGAAAGTAAAATGTCGAAAAATTCAAACTATCTTCGAAGCAATCGAACCTTATTCGCAAAAGAAATGTACGCGTCAGATATTTTCATTCAGCCTTGTCGGGAGTTTCGCCCGCAATTTTTTCATTCGCCCGTAGTGAATATAGAATATTTTGCTTTGCTACCTTTATGCTTAAGTGCACATTTAAGATACCTACCCTAAAATGCGAATCAGTGGCATTGTTTTTAACATTTATAAGGAAACTGCTCCGATAGATGCATTCAACATACCTGGACAATATAACCTGCCTTAAAAATTGTGCAACTATTATCAATTATCAATGAAATTATTACATTTACCTGCACTGGCCCTACAATTACCTAATTTTAAAAGTTTTTAATTATTTTGCTCATCTCGCAGAACAGAGAAAATGGCTATCAATTTAAGTAGTTATTATAGATAAATAGATACCATTCGGTAAAAATTTCGCTTGCAGTAATTTCTACGTGGTAAGTGCTCCTCCATTATTTGGTTTTATAGGGATTCGGATACCTTCCTCATTGAAGTAGTAAAGAAAATTCGCTTAAGTGCACAAGTTTTTCGTGCAAATAAGGATGGGCAGCTAAGCAAAATATACTGTATATTATAGCATTTAACTATATTTCATGAAATTATTTTGAAATACATATTGCTAAAGTTTTTACAGACAAGACCAGTGTTGCCACACATAGGCTTTTCCTACCAAAACTGGTAGGTTTTTTTCCATTTGGTAGGTCAATGAGTAATAGTCCAAACATTTTAGCAACCTTTTTTTCACGAATATTTCACCGGTGCGTTCGTATAACGGCGGCTCGTACCCAACCATATTCCAGGCGGAGGTCTTCGCAATCGAAGTCTATGTTCGCGATTGTCATCGTAAAAGGCAAATGAGGCCAGAATAAATATTATGTCGGATATTCAGGCAGCTTTAAAGGCCTTAGAGTCTTTTAAAACGGCATCAAGGCGTGTGACCTCTTGAACCACCTGGGAGCCCACAATAGCGTAACGCTGTGGAGGGTTCAGGGACATGAAGGGTTTGAAGTTAACGAAAGGGCTGACTATCTCGCATAGCGTGGAGCCGAAATGCGTTTGCATGGTCCCGAGCCATTCTGCGTTACATCCAAATGATAGAGAATAATCTCAAATTGCTGCTGACCTGCGGAATTCAAAGGGAAAAAGAAAATCAAAGAGATTCATAACTCTTTCCAGGAGGA